CAATCCTACTAACTTATTCTTTCTCTACCAACTGGAAATTCCACATTTGTCATGTATTAAATTCTTTTATGTATAAAATTCACAAATTAATTTTTAAAACATTTGTTTATTGATTCCAAAGAGAGGAAGGGGGAGAGAGAGAGAGAGAGAAGGGGAGAGAGAAAGAGAGACAGAGAGACAGAGAGACAGACAGAGAGAGAAAAACATCGATTAGTTGCTTCCTGTACTCACCCTGACCAGGGATTGACCAGGGATGGAACCCGCCACCTTTTGGTGTACTCGATGATGTTCCAACCGACTGAGCCACACCAGCCAGGGTATATATTAATTTTTAAAATAGGCACACCTGGAAAACTCTAAGCTACATTTTGTTTTCAGTCTTAACTATACATTTGACCCTTAAACAACATGGGGGTTAGGGGTGCCGACACCCCACACAGTAGAAAATCTTTGTGTAACCTCTGACTCCCCCAAAACTTAACTAGTAATAGCCTACTGTTGACCAGAAGCCTTACTGATAACAATCAATTAACATATATTTTGTATGTTATATGTATTATATAGTATATTCTTATAATAAAATAAGCTAGAGAAAGAAAAATGTTATTAAGAAAATCATAAGGAGTCCGGGCCTCTGTGGCTCATTTGGTTGGGTGTGGTCCCATGCACTGAAAGGTCGCTGGTTCTGTTCTCGGTCAGGGCACATGCCTGGGTTTCAGGCTCAATCCCTGGTAGGGGGTGTGCAGGAGGCAGCTGATGGATGTTTCTCTCACATTGATGTTTCTCTCTTTCTCTCTCCCTCTCCCTTCCTCTGTCTCTAAAAATCAATTTAAAAATCTTTAAAAAAAAAATCATAAGGAAGAGAAAAATATATTTACAGTACTATATATATTTATTGAAAAATATCCACATGTAAGTGGATCTGTAAAGTTCAAACCCATGTTCAGGGGTCAACTGTATATACATGGATTATTATATATTATGGTTATTAATTAAACGTTTGTTTTCAACAAACGTTTCTTGAGTGCCTGTTCAATGCTGGGCACTGGGGACACTGCCACAAACAAAACAAATATAAATCCCTGCCTTTGGGCTTGGGGGCAGACAGCAAACAATGCATAAATGTGTGACATATCAGGTGGCGGTAAGAAACAAAATGAAATAAGGTGATTTTTAAAAAATGTTTTCAATGATTTCAGAAAGAGGAAGGGAGAGGGAGAGAGAGATAGAAACATCAATGATCAGAGTCATTGATCGGCTGCCTCCTGCATGCCCAGCACTGGGGATTGAGCCTGCAACCTGGGCATGTGCCCTGACCGGGAATCAAACCGTGACCTCCTGGTTCATAGGTAGACACTCACCAACTGAGCCACGCTGGCTGAGCAAATAGGGTGATTTTAGTGGAGGAGAGCCCAGCCAGCGTGGCTCAGTGGTTGAGCATCCACCTATGATCTAGGAGATCGCAGTTTGATTCCCAGTCAGGGCACATGCCTGGGTTGCCGGCTCAATCCCTGGTGCGGGTCATGCAGGAGGCAGACAATCAATGTCTCTCTCATCATTGATGTTTCTATCTCTCTTAGTCCTTCTCTCTGAAATCAATACAGACATAAAAAAAAAAAATAATGGAGGAAAAGGGTGCTGTTTTAGGTAGGATGGTCAGAGAAAGCTGCTCTGAGGAGGTGCTGTTGAGCAGAGGCTTGAAGGAGGTGGAGCCACATGGACAGCTCAGGGAAGAACTTGCCAGGTGGAGGGAACAAGTGCAAAGGTCCTGAGTCAAGGCCATGCCTGATGAGTTTTCAGTGTAACCAGGAGGCCAGTAAGGCTGGAATGGAGTGAGCAAAGGAGAGAGAGGGGAGGACATGAGGGCAGTGAGGGGTCAGGGCCTTGTGATCCTAAGTGTCCTCTGGCTCAGTGAGGGAGAAAGAACATTTGAACATTTGAAGAGTTGGGCTTCTCCTCTGAATGAGGTGAGGGCCATGGAGGTTCCGGGCAGAGGAAGGATATGCCCTGACTCAGGTGTTTACAGGCTCCTCTGTCTGCATTGGGAGGAACACAGTGGAGGATAAGAGGGGGAGCTGGGAGACCAGGGTGGAGACACCTACAGTGGTCCAGGCAAGAGATGACCGCTATGTGACAAGGGTTCAGGCCAAGGAGAGAGTGAGAAATGGTTGGATACCGGGTAGATTCTGAAGGTAGAGCTGATGTTAAGGAGAGAGACATCCCAGGTTTCTAGCCTGAGCGCTCTGGAAGACAGAGCTGCCATTTCTGAGTCCTGGCAGGCGGGGGACGACTGAGAGGGAATCGGATGTGGTAGTGCTGAGTGTGAGATGCCTATGAGAACCCCATGTGGGGCACCGGGAGACAGGTGTCTCAGGGGTATGCAGCTTGGGGGTCAGGCCCTCCCTAGGGACTGACATTTGGGAATCATCAGGATGGAGTTGCTTGAAGTCCTGAATTTACAGGAATGACCCCAAGAGACCTAGTGCATCTGGGAAGAGAAGAGACTGCACCACTCAGACTGTGTAGGGTGGGACTCGCTGGCAGGGACCTCTGGAACCACAGGATTTCTTTAGGAGGCCTGGTCATCCAAGGGCATGGCTTGAAGCCTTGAGCCTCGCCCATTTGCTGAAGTCTGTGGGCCAGGGGTCAGGTAGGGCCTCCAAAGCTATAGGCCACTGTGGAGAGGTCGCCTTTCTCTAGGAATGCTGAGTTAGCGATCAGCGTGGGACAGTGGTGGGGGTGGACTCTGAAGCAGTAGCTGTAATTATTGAGCACCAACTGTATGTGAACACACTGTATAATCCCATGCTAACTGTGTACCCCACACTGAATATATATTCCTACCGACTATACCCCCATGCCAGTTGTATATAGTTAACTGTACTATAAAGTATACAACTGGCCCCAATGGCTTTTGGCAGATGCAGCGAGACTGAGGGAGTATACTGTTTATATGGGGGTGGATGGTTGGTGTGGGGGGTACAGCCAGTTGAGTGTGCACTCTCTGCCAGTTATATACTCCCACAGTAGCTGTACAACTTCATGCTGATTGTATACCTCCCACGAGCTGTATACCTCCACCCTTACTGTATATCTCACACGGATTAAACTCCCCTATGGCAATTGTCTACCTCCATGCCAGCTGTATGACTCCATACTGACTATATAATGCCACTCTAACTGTGCCCCCTGCAGTATCCCCATACCTACTGTGTACTCCCACATTGTTCGAGCACCCCTACACTGACAGTACAGTACATCCATTCCAACTGTAAACCCCATGCCAACTGTATACCTCCTGGCATCCCAGACCTGGTCTTTGACCAGTTTTGGTTTTTAACTTTAGCCCCATTTCACAGTTAAGGAAACTGAGGCTCAGAGTAGGCAAGGCATTGGCCTAAGTGTTTTCTGGCTCAGTGAGGAAGAAAGAACATTTGAATCCAGGGCCATCCAGTAGGATGCTGGCTCCACAAGACACACAAGTTTGGGTCTCTCTGATTTGCCACTGTACCTGATGCCCAGCCCCGGGGCTGCTCCCAGTAGGGGCTCAATAAATCCCTGTCCTACAAAACAACGGCTCCTGGAGTCACAATTGTGAGAGTGTGCAGGGATGATGAACTCAAGTGTGTAGCTTTGGGGGCCACAAAGGGACCATCTGAGGGCCGTGCCAGACAGGAATGTGGCATGGGGCTGCGGGTCCCATTCGCCAGTTTTCAAGAAACTGGCCATGTGGAATTTTATATGGACTCTCCCAATGTTTAACTGTTGCCATTTAATTTTTTTTTTCTTTCTGAATGCAGCTCCAAATAAAATATATGCACTGATTCGAGAATTTTCAGCTCAAATACTTTACAGCTGGGAGTTTGGGGTCAGCCATCTGCCGGTTTTGTGGCGCCCAGCTAGAAATTGACCTACTTGCCCCTCAGTTTCCATACCTAGAGAATGGGTGAATCCTAGGCGCCCTTTCGGGGTTGAGAGGTGTGCTGGGCGGTGTGGCCCGATGATGGGGCGGGCGAGCCCAGGGGCTAGGGCGAAGCCCAGGGGTTCTCGGGGTGGGGGCGGGGCGGG